AGAGTTCATTGTTGAAAAGAGGCGGTGATGGTAGAGTCAAACTGGACGAAACGCTATTACTAATCGAATTTGTTCTTGGATTTACCTTTTAGTTTCACCAAGCAACAGTGCGACCTATTCGACTACAGGTATCAATACGTCTATACACTACACCTTTACATACAGTAAAACCCCGCATAAAAGAACCATTGCATTAGGAACCACTCGCAATTAAGCACCCAAAGTTAAAAAAAACTGATTCTCAAATAATCAACTGCCAAAATGAGTGTTTGAAATATATTTGAATAGAATTGTACTGCTCTTAGCCAATCAGAATTGCACATTTTACTGAAAATAATGGTTGGATGAAATTTCAAAAGACTCAAATGAGGCAAATTATATCAAAATACAACATGATACCGGCAAAATCTCTCCAACAACTATAAGAAACAAAAAATACACGATATATACTAACCGAAAGCTTGTTTATTTATGTATTTTTGAAATGTTCCAGGACCGGCCACCAGTCTCAGTTCTTCGATGGCTAATCCGACTACTACAGGTATAGAATAATGATCTTTTTACTGAGCTCTGCTCAAATAAGAATGAGAGTTGATGAGAGTTTGCAAGCGAGAATTTGCATGAGAGTTTGCTCAAAAAACAACTTTCATCAAAATTTGAACCAGTTCAAAGTTGATTAGATGGAGAGACGATGCGAGTGGTCGACTTTCATCAACTCTCATGTCCGTTTGACCAGGGCTTTATGAACTATCTTCGACAATTTAAAATAAATGAATGATACAGTAAAACCCTGCATATAAGAATTAAACTAGAAATTAAGAACCTGTTAGGCTAAAAAAATTAATTTGACCCTCTTTAAATAAGAACCTGTTTAGGCTAGAATTTCAAAGCAGGTTCTTATTTTATCAATTTTGTTTCTCCAGTTAAAATACTACATGACAATCTCAATTACTAGTTGAATCTTCTTTAGAAGCATCTTCCAAGCGCAGGTATTAGTAGAACTTGCCGTTAGATCTCGAGAACTGGCCCCGTTTACATTTGCAATTCTTGCATGCTGGGACTTTAGGTGCGATTTTCTACTTCTGTTGCATGGGAAAGAGTAAATAAGTTTGGAATGCTCTGAGTATATGTACCCTCATCTAAACATTCCTAATTCATCCACTCGTTCACAATATTTCAGAAGAAGAAAATGGCACCTAAAATCGCAGCAGAAATTGCAAATGTAAATCAACGAGCCTTTAGAGCGCTGCACTGGAATCGCAGGGCTGCATGTTTGATTCCTGCCAGAGGGCCTATAGTTGCATTTTTTCACAACTGCTCCTGGTTAGGGTCTACAAATGTATAAAATACACACTCGTAATTTCCATCTACAAAATCTTTCAACAATTAGTTCTATCGAGTGAGATGCCAAAACTAGTGATATTTAACAGTTATTCTACGAACTCGAGTCGAATATGAGCTGATAGCCGATGAGGCGCGTAGCGCCGAATTGGCTATCGCTCATATTCGACGAGAGTGAGTGGAATAACTGTTTTATTATATACACAAGGTCTGAATTCACAGACTTTGCTTTTCGAATATTTTCAATATTTTTCTATTTTGTTTATGTTTTTATCTTCGCTCTTTCGGCCGATTATTTTTTCAAAAATATATATTTTTAACCATTTTAAATTTTAAAAATTTATTTGCTAACCTCAAAACTATTTGTAGGAGTCTTTTCATTGTGTTTTTAATCTTGTAAAGGCTATAAAAAGCGACAACTTGCCGTTTTCTCGTTTGCAAAACATCGTAAATTCAGTTTGGCCGCCATTTTGTTTTTCTCTACTAGCAGGATATGAGCTAATATCCTGCTAGTAGAGAACCAATCAGATTGCAGAATACCTCATATCCAGACCTTGTGTATATAATAATAGCAGATATATATGCTTGATTTAATACCATCGCAAATACATAGTCTGTGGTTTGATTCTGAGGGTACATTTTATCAAATTCAGAGGCTTTTAATAAATAACTATTAAGTATAATACTGGCAACAGCTCACTAATTGGTAGCCTGGGGAAACATAATTTAAAACACTAAACCAGGAATAATTGTTTTTGACTAGAAACAAAGAACCTGCCTGATTTCTTGCTCAGCCTGATTTCTTGCTCATAAATTTGGGTAATTGTACTCAAGTTTTGAGTCAAAATACTGACCACCTCTCCTCCCCTCCCTACCCCATTTTTCAGGTCCAGTAAGGATAAACCATGCATTCTTGCATGTTCCAGTGTTACTACTGTTACTGAAGAGAAAACCAGAAATCATTGTTGGTAGAGTCAAACTGGACGAAAAGTTATATACTAATCTAATTTGTTTTTGGATTTACCTTTTAGTTTCACCAAGCGACAGTGCGAAGACATCAAGTGTTGATTCGATTCCAGGTATCAATTCGTGTACACTATACCTTTATACATACAGTAAAAACCCGCATAAAAGAACCATTGCGTTAGGAACCAGTAGGCCGCTGAAATTTAGGCAATTATAAGCAGCCAATATTTATGAAAACTGGTTCTCAAAAAAAACTTTTGAATCTTATTTATAGCAGCGTCTTCCAAGCGCAGGTATTGGCAGAACTTGCGGTTAGATCTCGAGAACTGCATGGACTCTGTAGCTCGGATGCATGGTTAAGGCCCGTTTACACTTGCAATTTTCGCTGCGATTTTAGGTGCGATTTTCTATGCGTCTGATGGATGTGAACGAGTGAGTAAGTTATGAATGGTCGGAGTATGCATTCTTGCATGTTCCAGTGTTATACTGGAGCAGAAACCCAGAGTTCATTGTTGAAAACATCTGGTGATGTACTAATCGAATTTGTTTTTGGATTTACCTTTTAGTTTCACCAAGCGACAGTGCGACGCCATCAAGTTTTCATCCGACTTCAGGTATCAATATACTATACCTTGACATTCAGTAAAAACCCGCATAAAAGAACCATTGGGTTAGGAATCACTAGGCTGCTGAAATTTAGGCAATTAAGCATCCAAAATTCATGAAAACTGGTTCTCAAAAAATACACTTTAGAATCATCTTTAGCAGCATTTTTCAATCACAGGTATTGACAGAACTTGCGGTTAGATCTCGAGAACTGGACTCTGTAGCTCAGGTGCATGGTTAGAGCGCTGCATCGGACGGAATCGCAGGGCTGCATGTTGGATTCCTGCCAGAGCTAGGCCTATATACAGTTGCATTTTTCGCAACTGTTCCTGGTTAGGTGATATTGGCAGATATATGCTTGATTTAATACCATTGCAAATGCAAAAACATAATCTGTATAGTTTGGTTCTCGATTAAGTTTTATAAAATTCGGAGGCTTTTAGATAACTATTATTAGTATAATACTTGGCAACAGCTCACTAATTGGAGAAACGAATCATTTAAAACACTAAACCATGCAGGGACAATTGTTTTTGACGAGAAACAAGAACCAGTTAAGAATTAACTCAGCCTGATTTCTCACTATAAGTACCTATTATATATAAGAACCACTTCAACCTGACATAAAAATACTGGTTCTTTTATGTGGGATTTTTTATCGAATGTGGTCTTCTTAGAGCGATAAGTTTGCTACATTGGTTTATTTTTGTCTCGTTTTCATGTAGAATCACCTCAAACATCTGATTCATCTGAAATTGTAGCATCTAGCTCAAATTCATCATCCACATCATCATTGGCAACAACAGTTGTAACACCAGCAACAATTGCAACAACAATATCAACTATGTTACAAGCAACAGCACTTACAACAGAACATACAACAATATTATCATTACAACCAACACCAACAATAGCGACAGCAACAACAGTATTAGAATCAACAGCAACAACACCAATGACAGAAGGCACAACAATAGCAACAGGGGCAACGAAACTATTGACGTCATCACCAAGTATTGCTTCATCTTCAGCCATGACAGGTATATAAAGGAATAAAAAGAGATTGTTCGAACCTAGGCTTGCTGCAAATCTACCTCTTTGAGGCTTTTTTTACAAAGCCTGCTTTTTCGCACGCGCTTTATTATAATTCGGGAAAAAAAACGTTTAGAGGCAGACTATATATTATACCATGCTGGATTTCAGTGGTGTAACTTAGCGCTTGGTAAGTAAAAATTATTACGGGCAAGTAGAAGAGTTCATATAGTGATTCTTGGTTGCAAGTTGTTTTTGTCAGCAATTAATTACTATACCAGGGACGTGCTGGGCTCTTAAAAAGGACAACGAATTACCAACGTCTGATGGGACCCAGGCGCAGTGAACGATTGCTCAAGATTAATATTTTTTTCAAAAATTGTTGGTGAGGGGAGGTCGCCAATTTTTCCAGATATACCAAACTTTTTCCGGACATATCGTAATTTTCCCTGGAATGCAAAAATTTTTCCGGATATATCGTAAATTTTCCGGAAATACTCAATTTTTCCGGGCATATCGTAACTTTTCGGTCCCACATACGAAAATTTTTCCGTAATGTTTTCGTGAATTTTGATTTTTACAATATAAACTGTAATATCTTAATCTTGATTTTGAAAATTAAAATCTCATTGTTTTAAAAAATTTGAATGTTTTTATTTTAGGGGCCCATGATGGCAAGGGCCCACACACAACGAGTTCTCGTTGGCTCGTCCCTAGCCAGCACGTCCCTGATTACTACGAAATGGTTTGCTTCTCTTTACGTCTTGAGACCTTATTCATAAATCGTGACGAGGCCTCGTATCCTAGGATACGGGAACAAAACGCGGGAAAACAAGCGAAAACTGCTTGACAAGCCAAATTCAGATGCTATTGTGTCGACTTTAACCGCTTGTTTCTTGTTGCTTTTTGCCATTTATAACGATTTTTGTGTGTATTTTAAGACTTTGTGCCCACAACGAAAGCGGTAAACGAGTATATTATAAAAGCGACCGGTTTTTCTCCCGTTTTTGTGTGGAAAAAATGACAACGTAGCGATGGTGTTTATCCAGAAGCGAAAAACAGTATTTTACTGAGATTTTAACGTCAATATAAAGGTTTATTCCGTGAAGAATCAAGACAACTATGGAATGGTAGTATAATTTTTCGAATTTGACATAAATATGAAAGAAAATATCAGTCAAAAATCACAAGAGAACGTCAAATGTTAGTGATTCGTACGGAAAAATATGAACTATGGCTGTGGCTCGATAACAATCTGCAAGCAGCTTACAAGTTTAAAAAATGAAGGCTACATTACCTGAGTGAGTTGTAATCTTATTTCTTCAACAATTGTTTCATATTTCTTACGATTTTGGTATTGTATAGACGTTTTGTAGCCTTGTTGGTTGTTTGTTTCGGCCATACAAACTACGACAATAATACAAAGTCAAAGGTTTCCTTTTTCGATTGACTCCAGGATCTTTTGCTTCAAATATCATATGTAATATTTTCTCAGAAGTATTTTTTCAACTTTCAAGCTCAGTTTTATAGATATTATTTTCGAAAAAAGCCGTAAATATTCACGAAAAAAAGCTGCCATAGCCGACAGCAAAAAAAAACATTTTGTCAATTTTCCCGCGTTTTTCCCCGTTTCCTAGGATACGAGGCCTCATCACGATTTATGAATAAGGTCTATTCTGCATGCTTTTTGATTCTTCATTCAAAATTAGCTAAGCTAGAAATCGACACTTCATTTTTAAGTCTTCAATTGAATTTGTTGAGGAAAATGTAAGGTTAGAATGGTGATTAATCGATCCTTACTGCAATCATTAGCTTTAAATTTTGTTAACATGTGAGGGCAACACTAGTGAATTTTATCCCGAGCAACAAATTGTCATAGGCAAAATATATAGTGGCAAAAATGGTTAAGTTACACCACTGAAAAAGTAACAAGTGTTTTTCATTAAAAGTGCTGTTTCTACAAACTTAAAATTATATTATATTTTAGTATATTTCAATAAAATCGTACCGCTCTTAGCCAATCAGAATTTAGAATTTGCCATGCATGTATATTGTTAGGGTTATGTTAAAAAATTAATGACATTTCAAAAGACTCAAATGATGCGAATTATATCAAAATACAACATGATACAGGCGAAATCTCTCTTCGAATCTCTCGAAAAATCTCTACAGTATTTAATTTAATTAAAAAAAAACACTAACCGAAAGCTTGTTTATCCATGCATGTATTTTTGACATGTTCTAGGACTGTCCACCAGTTTCAGTTCTTCGATGATTAATCCGACTACCAGAGGTATTCTTGGGTTTCACTAAGGCATTATGCAGTGAATCTGACGGGGGTCAACATCAAATGTATTGGTGCTTATGCTGTACTGGAGTGAAAAAATGATACGAAATTCCATGTATTTGCCACCAAACACAAAGCTAATACATAAAACGAACAATCGACTCACTCTGATAACTGTGTTTTGTTTTAGAGTTGACTTCGTCACTTCTGTGACGTCATATGAAACCCAAGAATAGAGTAATTATCTTTCGAGCCTTGGTCAGACAAGAATGAGAGTTGATGAGAGTTCGCAAGCGAGAATTTACATGAGAGTTTGCGCAAACTCAAAACAACTCTCATCAAAATAAATACAAAATTTGAGCCAGTTCAAAATTGATTAGGCGAGTGCATGAGAGTCGATGCGAGGTGGTGGTCGTCGACTTTCTTCAACTCTCATTCTCGTTTGACCAGGGCTTTATATACTATCTTAAACAATTTAAAATAAATGAATAGTATTTCGTGAACTTACAGTTTATATGTAAATCAGCATGATTTTGTAACAGATATAAAAACTCATGATTTCTTTTGTGTTTTCTTCATGAATTACTAATGAGTTTCACAAGTACTAGTTAAAACATGAGCAGCCGATCTTTATCTGACATAAAAACTCGAGCCGAAGGCGAGAGTTTGTATATATCAGATAAAGATCGGATGCGAATGTTTTAACGTGCTTAAAAACAACCCATCTTATGAGTTCATTGGCGAAGTAATTTTTAAAATAAACATTGTCTAAGCCGAAAAAGTCAGAGCTGAAGTTTATGTAAATCAGTACAAATCTTTATCCGATTTACAAACATTGATTAAACATTCATTTCTTTTGAATTTTCTTCATGAATTATTAATGAATTTTTTTATGTCTATATAATATATATCCTTATTTTTTATATTCAATAGAATCAACTTACACAGCAGCAATTATACATAAGGTTAGTATATACCTTCTATTAAATAAGAGACCGGTTATTATTTATGGCGTGAGGACTAAGGTAGCACCGAAGAGAAAAGGGTTGGATAAACAAAATTTTGAGTAAATAAAAGGTTAGGTAAATGAAAGACAAAACGACTCAAAGGTTGGGTAGTAAAAATTTACTGTCATTTCCAAAGCATGCCTCACTCAAATATTGAAGACTAAAAAGCAATGTCGACAGTAATATGCCAATACAATATGTAAATCAATCAATCAATCAGAGTCACTATCTTGATCATTTTGTCAGAAGGCAAATGGTGTCTCCGAAGAAAGTACATGTGCAGACAACATGAAACTTTAGACTGCAGAAAATTGCACAAGCAGTTATTAAACTTGTGTCACTGAAGTGGTAAAGATCATGTGCAACAACTGAATGGTATCCTTTTGTAACGTTTTTGGACAGGAGTGGGTGTTTATTTTTTAATTGATATTTGATGTTGCTGGTAAAAAAATTGACATTTCTCTTCGGTACCACCCCCCGCGACATAAATAATGACCGATCCCTAAAAACAATTGCAATTCCAAGGGGTTTTGGTAGAACAGTGGTTAAAGTCATTTTATTTTCTCTAACGGAGCTTGTGTAAGAAGAATGCTCCACAGGTTTTTGTGAGAACAAATTTATTTAGAACCGGAATGGCTTTCCGGTTTAACGAAGTTAGTTTTTGTTTGAAGTATAACCGGCCAGAACCAACTACAAAAAGATTATCAGTATTGTAACCAATTTACATTTTAATTTTAATCACTTTTTTTAGTATAAAGATGAATTAAACAACGTCAGCCTTACTGACAAAGATGCTATAAAGGTAAGTTGATTTTAATCATTTTATTCTTAAACTTTATATATAACAAGTGTGTTGCGTCAAAATTGTTTGCATGTTTATTTGTTAAACCTTCTGGCTTATTCTAACAGAAAATTGTGAACATTACTACAAATTTCATTAAAACGGAAGAGTCTAAGCCCAAGGGCAAGGAGGGTACCACGACCAATCCTGTTGTTTTTATCGCACCAATACTTGAAAAGAAGTTGATAAAATATTGCGAGGCCAATCTACAAACACGTCATAATGGAACGTATAAGAAAAAAAATGAGAAGCTTGGTAAGCTATTATACATGTTCTCTTATCGGTCCAGTTCTACTATAGTATACGTATTTTCATAGTCTGTCAAGATACGATGGTCTGGAAGCCTGGCAAACTTCAAAGCCACAAAATAGAAGACCTTTGTTTGATGTTGAACTGTACCTCACCATGCACAAATCCTTTGTCTCAACTTCATTAAATATTGTTCATCGTGGCTGCACGTTTCATCTCAGCTATCCTTATTTGGACGATTACGTCATTATACAAAAATACAATGAGCTCAATCACCGTGACCGTGCACAAATTAACATAAACTCCGACGAAAACATCAAACAATAACTTCTGTTTGTTTCCAGACCATCATATCTTATTATATAATAACGTTAAGAATTCGAGCACTTTCATTGTTCGAGAGCCATGATGTACCTGTATTAGAGGACAGACGCACGGAATTACGTCACACAAAACTTTGTTCTGTGCAGCCAATCACAACGCAGCACGCGATTTAAGGTAGCCAATAGCGTTCCCTTATTTGTATAGATCATATACGCGCGATATTTGTAAAATATTTACCTGTTTAATTCGGGGGGTTTCTTTCTATTATAGAAAACAATAGATACTCGCCTCGGCGGCTCTTGGATACTGTGTATATCTATAACTGAACCAACATGACCTCCTCCTTCGAATTTACCATATGAGTAAATTCTTAAACACGTCCGAATTTATCATTATGATAAATTCGCGGCGCATATTGAATTTATCGTAATGATAAATTCCCGGCATCTAACACCTAAAGCCCCGTTTACACTACGCTTAATTTTTGGTACCGTACCAGTTTTTTGGTTCTTGGACTACCTAACACTTTAATCCCAACCCTAACCCCTAATCCTAACCCTAATCTAACTTTTTTAACTTTTTTGAAAATCTAACTTTTTAAACTTTTTTTTCTTTTTAAAACTTTTTTTTAAATCTCTCCACCCCCGCGCGACCAGGCTCCCTTTTAAGCCCCGTTTACACTACGCTCAATTTTTGGTACGGCACGGATACAATTGGTACCCGTACCACTTTTTTTGTTCTTGGACTACCTATTTAGATAGTCCAAGAACCAAAAAAGTGGTACGGTACCAAAAATTGAGCGTAGTGTAAACGCGGGGCTTTAGTGCCATTACATTTATACCAAAAGGTCTTGTCTAACGCTTGTGGTTTTATGATCAACTCTATTGATAAATTCAAAATGTGCCGCGAATTTATCATAATGATAAATTCGGACGTGTTTAAGAATTTACTCATATAGTAAATTCAAAGGAGGAGCTCATGTTGAACTGAACAGACAACGTTAAATAGACTATGGTATTTTGAGGTGAACTGTTTGCTGTTCGAATTAGTTAGGGCAATTAAAATTGATGCATGAATTAGCTACAACCTGTCGAAAACCTGTATAGCTGCAAATACATGTCCTTCAAATACGATTTTTTAAGATTGGCGTTAAGGGGTTGTCTTAAGATCTTTGGTATTTGTAATGTTTCTACTAATGTTTTCTTTCACTTCATTCTAATATTGTTACATACAATATTTTCTAGAAATTTTTATGACGATATTGAATAACAGCCTTCAAAAAGATATAACCTTCCCTGTTCCTGAAGATGAGAAGAACGAAAGCGAGAAGCAAGATACAGACTTTATAAACATCCCATTGACTTTTACTTTCTCAAACAATACCATTTCCTTAAACAATACCATTTCCTCAAACAATACCATTTCCTCAAACAATACCATTTCCTCAAACAATACCATTTCCTCAAACAATACCATTTCCTCAAACAATACCATTTCCTCAAACAATACCATTTCCTCAAACAATACCATTTCTTCAAACAATACCATTTTCGTCGGTATTCTCTACAATTTCAGCTCTGGAAGGTAAGTGTATCATATTTATAATCTGTCCTCTGTAGACATCAAATGCACTCCAGAGTTACTGCAGGGGAAACCTAAACTAAACTTACTTTTTATTTTTGCCAATTTTGGATATCTTTATCAGCTCTAAACATTCTAAACTGTTCTCCATGGATGTCCAGTAAGGATTATCCTGTATTCTTTTAAACAAATAAAATGCTCGGTGAAAACATGTTAGACGACTGCCCAACATTTTGAAAGACATGCATTCTGATGCGTTTTTTTGTTACTAGCTGCCAACTGGCATTTTCTTATAGCTTACGCATTGGTGAACAAAACTATATATGTTGGCACATCTGATTTTGGCATTATAGCCAAAAATTTGAGAATTTTAAAATTTTTCCTAATAAAGTACTGTGTTGAATAAATATGCGAAATTTCAAGTTTACTTTTCACAAAAATAAACTATACCATTGGAACGATCGCACAAAAGTGTATATAAGATTTTTTAAGCGTGTATTGCGAGTTTTCAAGCCGGTTTTGATTTAAAGGAGCTATATTAAAATTGGCAAAATAGTATATCTTTGAGCGTTAAAAGCTATATACCAGAAAAATATATACTTTTTTGCGAACTTTCTAATGGTATAGCTTATTTCTGTTAAAAGTGAACTTGAAATTTAATTAGCATTTTTCATGTCATCATAGTACTTTTTATCGGCAAAATTTTAAAATTCTCGATTTTTCATCTATAAAGCCAAAATCAGAGTTGGAACAGTATCTATAGTCTCGTTCGTTAATGCCTATACTCTATGAAAATGTGAGTTGGCAGCTTGTAACAGAAAATGCCATCAAACAAATTTTGTTGCACATTTTCAGGTTTTGGCCTGCCGTCTACGTGTTGTCTGGCAAAATCGAATTTGAGAACTTTTCGCACAAGACAATAATCTGATAACTGAATATTCAAGTGGGTGTAAGTGAATTTCGCGAGTTATGAAGGCAAAGTTTGCCGAGTCACTACAACCACTACTTAATATTTCTTCTCCTAAAATTGTTGGGAGTGTGTAGCCCAAATCAAAAAATTTTTCCGAACAACATATTTGTCAATCTTATTTTGTATTTAACCAACGTTGATCGTTGGTTAAACGTTGATCATTTAACCAACGTCGATCTAAAATGTGGAGAAATTTACGAAAATTAGGGAAAAATTTCTCCACATTTTAGCTAACTATTAATCTTAATTTTTAATCGGTGTCACTCAACTATTTTATTTTTTTTCCTTCCTATCCAAATCCATGATTTGCCGACTGGGATTAAATATTTTGCTGACTACCTGATGACTGGGGGATGTTCCACCTCCTCCCGCACCCCCCTTTAGCGCTGGCCCTGACTGAAGTCCAATAGCTCCATCTTTGTTATTTTGGACTTGAGTTCTCACTGATACGAACTAACCATATCTAATATGTTTTATTACAGCGAATCGGAAGAAGCCACTCAACAAAAATTGATAGCGTTAATTTCAGCAGAAATTTCTCCGAAACCAACTGAATATTCGGGCAACATCACCTTTTCACTGGGACATGGAAATTACTCGCGTGATAAAATTTATTGCGCTTTTGTTGATGAATTAGCGGCAGATGTTGTTTCTCACATGCCGTTCTCCAGACAAGGCTGCAGTAAGGTGACATCTAGATCTAGTGGAACTCGCACTAAATGTACATGCAATCACATGACCAGTTTTGCTGTCATGACAGAAATAGGTGGGAAAAAGATTTCGGTAAGAACCTTTTGTTGATTACGATCACGTGATATTTGCATAAGAATCACACCATAGTCCCATCCATGATGGTAGCATATTCATTGTCGTCACATGACAACCACATCATAGTAACATATAATCACGTGGCAGTCGCATTATAATTGATGACAATCACATGATAGTCACATGACAATCACGTGGCTGTCGCATGATAATTGAATGACAATCACATGATAGTCACATGGCGATTATGGGATATCCACGCGAGTATTTTATATGAGAAAATTACAAATCACAAGGCAACATGTGTCGACATTTCTGCTTAACATGCGTTGAAATCAGATTTTGTTGCAAGTTGCAGCAATTTTGTTTTGCTCGTATTACTCCAGCTTTACAAATGCTATATCATAATTTTTTTATAATATAGCACAAAGAAATATAAAGAGAGAAATTTTCCGTTTTGACATCGAGTTATATCAACATGGCTCTTAGCCAATCAGCATTCAGAGTTTACAAATGCTATATTATATGGCTAAGAGCCGTATTCATGTAACTCAATATCAACATGGAAATTTCTTTCTTTGTATTGTTTTGTGGTGTATTATAAAAAATATATAAAACATTTTTTCCGTATTGATATACAGTTATATCAACAGTCAACACTCGTGGAAATTGGGACTGAAAAGTCAACACAATTTCTCGTTTTCCTAATTTCCACTCGTGACGATATAACTGTATATCAACACGGAAATTGTTTTATATTTGTTCAATATAACTATGCAAATAAGTAGAAATTGCAACCAGTAGTCGTCCTATTTGGAAGAATATTCCTATTTAGATTCAATCAACATGCAATAACAATTTCAGGTATCAGCCAGCCATCGCAAAGCCCTGAGTATAATTACCTATATTGGTCTTACATTATCATTGATTGGAGAAACTTTGACTGTTGCCAGTTATGTGCTTCTCATTGGCCTGAACACAGAACAAGCTCACTTGCACACTAATTTGGCATTCTCGTTGGGGTTGGCACAGATCTTCTTCTTGGCTGGAATAAGCGCCGCATCTAGCGAGGTACGAAACAGGGCTCACCTCACCCCCCTCCCTTCAGGGAACGAGCTTCGATTTTACGATTGGGAGGGGGCGGTGTTGGTATTAAAGTAAGTTCGCTACCCCGAGTATTTTGAAAATTATAAGCCAGGAAAGTACATTTCTAGCTATTTCCCACAGTAATTTTGTTTAAAGTAACCATGTGTATATATTGCCTAATGATACGCGGATATATTTCTGTTGAATACTTGTCTAACTGAAAATGCATCTAACTTTTACAACTCGATGATTATTATAACAGTTTTGTTTGTGGAAACACCACGTAAATTTATTACTGCAAAGCTTTCGATCCTCTAATCAATAGCTGATGATCTTTCTAATCTTTTAAATGTACGTGGTGTTTCCACAAACAAAACTATTATATGTTTTATCGCCATGCAAACATACAAAGAACTTCGATGATTATTGTATTGTAAAAGAGAAATTACACAGATATTGACCGTCGAGCGTTACTCTGCTTTGAAAATCACGCAGGCACGCTTAAAACTGTGACACTGTGGAAGCCCAAAGCACATATTCAAAACTAGTAAGTTTCACTTTTCAAAAACTGATAATTTTGATTAAAGGACATTGGCAACGAAAATTTTTATTGGCTATTTCAATCCTACTTGACAACCGAACTATGAAACTGATTATCATTTCCTTCTTGAACATTTTAGTCTATGAGTAAAATGCATACAAACTTTGTGTTTCGGCCAGTTTCGCCGCCATCTTGGAAAATATTTTTGAAAAATTATCTCGAAGGTCAATGAACTTTGAGACGTCATTGGCTGGGTAGCACCAAAACTACAAGAGAGAATTCTATTGCGTGCGTGTTATGTTAGCTAAAAATATGTCGTTTTGAGCGTTATACTGGCCAACACTCTTCGCAATCAAACAAGAGAAGTCTACACTATCAGATAAAAACATATCGAGCGACTGGGAAAGCAAGAAATGGCGCAATTTATAATGCATGCAGGTAATTGATAAAAAAATATTGCATTAGTATTTGCCTTGTTACACTCGAATTTCTGCGCTTATTTAACATGGAGTAGGATATATACTATGAGAAATAGTGTTACAAACAAGTTACATACTTGGTATAACTTTTCTGCCTTTTGTTTTGGCTCAAAATGCACTACGCGTAGTAATACACGGTATTGTTTATAGTCATGAGATTGTGTTTACCCAGCCAATGACGTCAGATAATGTGTTTTGTGGCATAAATTAGCATACGCGCTTATTTTCAAAATGGCGGACAACTGTTCAAATTTTCTCAAATTCAATCAAATTTTCTCGGCAACTAAACGCGACAAACCGGCCAAAATATGAAGTTAAATATTCCGTAAGTATACCTAATAGATATAAGTAATAAAAATTTTGGTTGCCAATGTCCTTTAAGCCAATGGCAGTGTCACGTTAAAAATGAGAAATATATATCAACCTTGCCATGCAATGATAGTATGTTGATGAGTTAACATTTTCCAATCAGATTGCTTGCCTCCTGGTCACAGCTATGCTCCATTATTTTTACCTTGTGACATTCTGTTGGATGTTGGTGGAAGGTTTTCATCTCTATCTGATGGTCGTCAAAGTCTTTAATGAGAACAGTTACCTCAAGTTTTACTACTTATTTTCTTGGGGTAAGTACAAGTGGACGATTTTGTGGAAAATATTTCCCTCTCTAAAGTATAGCTCATTCTTGCTTTTATTGTTGTTGCTGCTGTTGTTTCTTCTTGTTGTTTGTTGTTGTTGTTTGTTGTTGTTGTTGTTGTTGTTGTTGTTGTTGCAGTTGCCGTTGCTGCTGTTGTTGCTGTTGTAACTCATAGATATCTTATATACACTAGATAGCGCATCTATTTTAGTAAAATTGAAGCCAAGAATATTCCAGCGGTTACCCCCATTTGAATAGATGGCGGCCATGTTGGTCGTTCCCACTTGCTAATAAACGCTTAAAAACAACAATAACTTTCATCATTTGAATAGTTTAAAAACGTATTTGTAATAGGGTTAACTTAATGTTTAAGTTTCCTGTTTGAGAGATAGAAAACATACGAATCTTTTCATTTCATTTCATGGGAACGACCTGAGACTGCAATCACGGCTTCAATTTTTGAATTGCAGAATAATTAGATGCACTATCTAGTGTATATAAAATATCTATGTTGTAACTGCTGCTGTTGTGGCTGTTATAACTGCTGCTGTTGTTGGTGCTGCTGCTGTTGCTGCTGCTGTTGTTGCTGCTGTTGCTGCTGTTGTTGCTACTGTTGTAACTGCTGCTGTTATTGTTGTTGTCATTGATGATGTTGTTGTTGTTGTTGTTGTTGTTGTTGTTGTTGTTGTTGTTGTTGTTGTTGTCGTTGCTGCTGGTGTTGTTATTGTTGTTGTTACATTGCTGTTGTTAATATTCTTTTATGTTTGCATTTAGTAACACCGATGGTCATAGTCAGCTTGTCTCTTATTGCTGCAGCCGCTTCACCGACTGGTATCCATGGTTACGTATCTAACGAAGACATGTAAGTAGTACAAAAATTTGATATGTTTGTGAATATTCGACGTCAGTCTCGGTACTCTAACGAAGCATTCATTACGCTGAAAATGTGCAAAATTACAGTGCGTCTACAGTAAGTGGGGCCGCTTATAGAACACTAGCCAATCACATTGCAGAACAAAAATAGAAATCTAATCAAACTAAAGCTCGTCCAATCAAAAGAAAGCATGAAGTTTGCTTCAGGAAGCCAGTAACTGCAGTGTTTACTTTTCAAGTCTATTTTTACCGTTTGACATTCGTTTATTTGTTAAAATTGTTTTTGGCCTAATGTTGATTGGCTGATGCGCCGTTTGTTGATTTTTTATATTTTTGTTCTGTAGTGTGATTGGTTAGTATTCTCTATAAGTTGCCCAACTTACTGTAGACGCACTGTAACATAGTTAGTAGAATTCGTGTGGTTTGGTAACCTGACTCAGATAGAAGAACAGTACTATAGTTGACACAGTTGATTCGTTCAGATATTTCAGATTAAGTTATATTAACATTCGTATCGTTATTTTAGCTGTTGGATATCTCATGAAAACAATTACATTTGGTTTTTCCTGGGTCCTGTTTTACTGATATGTCTGGTGAGTAGAAAAATATTGCCTCAGTATAATTTCAACCGCAAGATATTCATTTTCAAAGGTAATTTTGCATTGAAAAAACTGCCCCGTAAAAACTATAAGATTCTGTTGACAAACATGAAAGCTTACCTGATCATATGGAATATTTTTACAATGTGCAATAGACCTTTCCCCTTATAACCAAAATTTTGATCTAGGCAAGTCTAGACAAAAATTTCATCACAGCTTGAAAGAGCATCACAAAATTAGTAATATTCCAAAGTTTCGTTGCGAAATGTTGTAAAATGAGGATAATATAGCCTTGCGAAGTTTGCCGTTTTTCAGTCATTTTGCATTACAAACGGGAAATTGCAGTCCCAACACCCGAATCGTATGTCAATTTCCCGTTTGTAATACAAAATGACTGAAAAACGGCAAACTTCGCAAGGCTATATTATTATCCGCATTTTACAAGATTTTGCAACAAAACTTTGGAATATTACTAATTTTGTGATGCTCTTTCAAGCTGTGATGAAATTTTTGTCTAGATCGAAATTTTAGTTATAAGGGGAAAGGTCCATTGTTCCATCATTTAGTGTATTACACACGTATTAACGCGCAAGTTGTTACATGCAGATCTGCACACAAGTTGTGTTCGCACTGCTTGTTCCTAGACTAGATGTTGTAACAAGTTTGCAAAACCTGTCAGTCCTGTTAACAAGTCTGATAATATCAACAAGGTTGTTACAAGTTGTTAACAGCTTGTTCCAAACTTCCTGACAACTTGGGACAAGCAGTGCGAACGCAACTTGTTGACGGCTTGTTAGCAGACTTGCAATACAAGACTATGATGTGGGATTTTTACGCGTGTGGAGGTTTTTGTTTGGTTATGGTAATTTGTAATCATCTTATGCATCTTTACCTGCCAGGCAAATCTTGTGTTGTTAATCTTGGTGGTGCGAGAGATGACGAGAATGAAGAAAACAAAAGGTGGTGGACCCTCCCTACAATTCAGGTAACTTCATTTGCGCATCGTATACCTTTTTTGGCGGAGGGGGGGGGGGGGCTCTTTTGGGCCCGACAGTGTCTAGAAAATCATCGGATCATCCCTTTTCGTATAGACCCCGTACGAACTTGCAACTATTCTGGGAACAAAATACGCTTGATTATTTTCTCATCGAGTTTGTCTGATGCCGTACACAAATATAGCACATGATCTATGTCAGCGACGATATATTATCAGCGCAGCAATGTAAGGAAAACAAGAACGGTCCGGACATAGTCCAGTTTCGTAATAGAAATTGCAAGACGGTTACATTATCAGAGTTCCTTGAACAAAAGATCAACCGAGCATGGAACATTCTTTCCGATGAACTCAAACAACAGTCTCTGACATTATCCCGATCTAAATCACTACTTTATGCATATTTTGATGCCGTTTTAAATATAATCTACGATCCTGACACCCTCGGAAAAAAATGGGCGGACATTAAGTGTATAAAGTCGTCTTATAGACAATCTTCGCTGATATTTCGCCTTGGTTGATAAATCAGATCGAATGCCAGTCTCTATAGTATATGAATCAACCATTATCTCGATTTGAAGCTATTTTGTCAACTTTAGGAAATCAGTGAAGGCCTGTCTTCTTCTGTTTCCAATCCTTGGTACGACATGGGTGTTTAGTGTCCTTCTGATGCTGAAATATTCCTTGGCTATCGAGTATATCTTCAATATTCTCAACTCTCTTCAGGTAAACCTTAACGAACTTTATTTATGCTGGATAGTTCTAGAGTTCTGAGAAGTTCCCCCTAGAGGTCCAGTAAAGGTCATCTCTTATTGATCCAGTGTTACTACAGGAGGAAACCTAAACTAAACTAACTTTATACTGGATAGCTCTATCAGTTCTAAACTGTTCTCCCTAGAGGTCCAGTAAAGGTCATCACTTAATGATCCAGTGCTACTGTACAGGAGGAAACCTAAATTAAATGAATTTTATTTATACTAGACAGCCGTCTATCAGTTCTAAACTGTTCTCCCTAGAGGTCTAGCAACGGTCATCTCTTATTGATCCAGTGTTACTACAGGAGGAAACCTATACTAAATAGTATAAGTTCTGAACCGTAAGGCTAATCTCTTAAGGCCATAGATATCTTAAGGCTTGTACAAACGGACCCATGAGTGTTGCTGGGCCATTATACACCATCCACAAATTTTAAAATACTGTTTCACACTGTTTCACAAATAGTCTAAAGCACATATTGTCAATTTGGATAAATCTATATTATTTTAAGACTTTTGAGTATTGAGAAAAATAATCAGTTAAACCAAATTTCTATAACCCAAGATTTTATCATTGCAGGGTTTCATGGTTTTTCTCTTTTATGTTATGCGAAGCAGCGAGGTATGTTTTTTTCTTTAAAATATTCCAACGATGCTTTTCACTTATAATCTTTATTGACAACCAACTAAAAATCATTATATGACCCTGAATTAGAGTTGGAACATTATCTATCGCAAGAACAATGTTTCAGTTGATGTATTGCAAGAATAAGCCATGCATGCATTCGCTCAAAGGGATATTGGCATTGAGCATAAAGTAATATTTCAAATCCGATTATGAGGACTGGACTAGATTTCAATTCGCGCAATTTGACCAAGTGCGAGGACTTGAAATCTAGTCCAGTCCGAATAGACCTTTCCCCTTATGAGTGAAATTTTGATCTAGACAAGTCTGGACAAAAATTTCATCACAGCTTGAAAGAGCATCACAAAATTAGTAATATTCCGAAGTTTCGTTGCGAAATGTTGTAAAATGCGGATAATATAGCCTTGCGAAGTTTGCCTTTTTCAGTCATTTTGCATTACAAACGGGAGATTGATAATCAGTTTGATCATCTGATTATCAATTTCCCGTTTGTAATACAAAATGACTGAAAAACGGTAAACTTCGCAAGGCTATATTATCCGCATTTTACTACATTTCGCAACGAAACTTCGGAATATTACTAATTTTGTGATGCTCTTTCAAGCTGTGATGAAATTTTTGTCCAGACTTGTCTAGATCAAAATTTCGCTCAAAACGGGAAAGGTCTATTGGAAGATTTGAAATGACATTCTCATACGAATAAATAACTATACGTAGCCTATAGAGTGAGGTGAATAAATATTGATCCAGTCCAAGGACTGAATTCATTTTGATCCTAGGACTGGATCAATATGCTTCATTGGGTATCCAGTATTATCATGTGAGCAAAATAAAGCAATATGGTTGGCTAATTTACTCATGATCATGAATTATCGGCAGATGATTTCACTTCGTTCTGAAATTGGCAAGTTTGTTGCGAAGTTCAAAAGTTTATATGGAAATTCGCAATCCGGCTTGTAAGAAAAGCCTGAATAGACCTTGTGCATAATGTCGTCACAAAGCTTGATGCCCACGAGGAATGCTGGTCTTAGTAGTGATCGCCCGGGAAAATTTCGATAGTGACCATTTTGAATTGTTTAATTTTCCCGGGCGATGACGACTAAGACCAGCATTCCTCGCGAGCATCAAGCCTTGTGACGTCATTATGCATAAGGTTTATTAACACCGTGGTCAAACCGTATCGACTGCTTGTGCTCGACTTGAAATAGTATTGTCTTCATGAAGCTCTAGCAAAAAGTTTAAAGAAAATTACGAGGGTTTAAACTCAGTATAATTTTGTCTTGACATAAAAGGCCGTGAAATTTCCTGCCTTATAGCTTCAGCCGTTTCTTCATAGTAAACGGTTTTCTTTTACGGTGTTTACTCCTGTTATTTTGGCAGACATTTTTCCCGCCATTTCCGTACACTCGCGCATGCGCGTTACGTTTGACCGCAGTGTTCCTGAAATTGACAATGAACATGGGTCAGAGTTTGTGCCCTGTCAAGTTGACTGGATAGTTCAAATGGCAAAGCGTCTGACCGAATTCGAAATGCTGAATATGAGAATTCAAATCGTTTGTAATTTTCATGCAAAATAGATCCGCGGAGTCCTGCAACAACGCAAGGCTCGCTGGGCAAACTCATTGGACTTCACGAATCACGTATCGACCTATCAGAAAACGACAAGCACCTCAAACAGATCACAGCCTGCATCCGCGAGTTCCATCAAACCAATCCTGGGAAGCTGGTTCTCACCGAACACCCGTACTACACCCAGCCCGCGAGGTACACCCAGCCCGCGAGGTACACCCAGCCCGCGAGGTACACCCAGCCCGCGAGGCACCCCCAGCCCGCGAGATACACCCACCCCGCAGACACCTCCCAGCCCGCGAGGTACAACCACCAAGCGAGTAACTCCAAGCCCGGGTGTTTCCCCTCGCTCCTACAACACCCCAAGCCCGTATACCACTTCAGATCCGGCCGATTTGTTCAGTGAACATCCACGATCGCGCAACAATAAAATTGATCCTCAAATGGATGAGGTACACTATGCTGAAACATCAGCTTGAGGGCTCTGGTTAATTTCAAGTTTTCCTAAATTTATATTACGAATGTTAGAACGTCTAGGGACATCTGGAATGAAACTTAAATTGATCCAGTTTAAACGTAGAGTGCTTATGTGCTTATGGCTGCAATCAAATTTCACACCATTTTTTTACGACTGCATTCAGTAAAAGAAAATTCAAAGTGACCAAATAAGTTACATTGTTATACAGAATAGTTGGTAAAAGCAATTTGATTGGCTAAGAGCTTACAGTTAATTCACGCGACCTACAGAAAATTCAGTTATCCCGCTAGCAGTTATCCCGCTGAGTTATCTGCAAATGAGCCTGCGATGATTAGCAAGCGGTATCTATTTAACACAAACAAATGTATAGTAAAACAATTATTGGATGAGGTTTTTGCGATATGCAAAATTATCAAGGTTTCGGTAAGCGTTATCAGCC